CACACAATGTGATATATAGATGATGTATTATAGAAATGTACACTTGAAACCTATGTAATTTTACTAACCATTGTTACCCCAATAAATTCAATTTTTTAAAAAAGTGAAGAGTGCTCTCATTGATTCTTTGTTCTGTGTAACAATTAATTTTGAGAAAGATACTGCTAGGCAAAGAGAGAGATGGCATCTAAACTCAGGGCTTTTTTTACTCTCAATCTTAGGCTTCACACCCTAGTATTTTGCAACATTGAGGAGCAGGTTTACTTCTGGGGTCAGTGTGGGTCAACTTCAGGCATTAGAGTTTTGTGTATTAGGACACAGATCAATTTTAGATGCCTGTGGTTCAGATAGTTTACCCCTAACTGTACGAGTAGCGTAAACATTGGAACTTTACCTTATTCAATAGTTACAGTTATTATACTGGAAATAGTTTTATTTTAGCTCCTCAACTTGGATTTCTTTTTTAAATTAATGAAGCTGATTCATCAAAATGCTTTGTAAGATATTCATTGTTGCATTTATTCATTTGTTTAACAAGCATTTGTGTGTCTTATGTGCTAGGAGCACCATGGGGCGCTAGAGATAAAGAGATAGATAAGACACAGCCCCTGTGTTCAGGGAATTTTGGAATACAAAAAGATTACAGTTAGATTAAAGTAATGTATATTGTAATACTGGCTTCAAGACCTGTGGTATGTAATTAATGTTTGATTTGCCATTTAACATTTTGGGAATTATTATTACTGTGAATTACAGAAGGTTTAGCCTTCATCTCTTCTAAGATCAAAAGAAAATGAATCTAATGTTTTGATACCTACAAATTATTCATTCTGAAAATATTTGCTGAGTTGCTGCTCTGTGCCTGGGTACTGTGCTGTTTCCAGGGAATATAGTGGTAAACAAAGCAAATATTAGCTTTGCCTTTATGGAATTCACTGTGAGGATAATCTGTTGTCTAACCTTGACTTATTCCTTTTCTTCACCACTAAGTTCTGTTCCATATATTTCACATTATTCTTTCCTGTTTTTGTTTATAGTTTAGTGTCTATTGGTATATTTGGTATTATGCCACTGACACATAGTAGGGATAAAAAAATGATGTACTGAGCAATGTTACTGCTGTGAAGCAGTAATCAAACACTAGAAAATACCAGCCCTTCTATCATAATTTCATAATACTCTCTCATTTCTTGTCAGTAAACCAAGTATGGAAACTTTTGCTCTTTGGCATTATTATAAACCTAAAGCTGCAGGTTCTTTATCTGTTGGTTTATGTGTTAAATGTTTACTAACCAATTAGATATCTGTTCCTTCTATGCTTGTGATTGTTTTTTTGTTTTTAAACATTTCTACTGTTATGGCTTTCTTCTAGCTTCAAGGTTCTTTCAGCAGGTCTAATAATCACATAGCCATGAGACAGATTTGCAAGAGAAAATGACCAAATTTAATACATACATATGTATGGGAACCCCACATACATGAAAGAGAGACCCCACGTGCCCAAGAGATTCAGAGACAAAGGGAACATGGGTGTATAGGACATTCTGAGCTAGGGACGAGGTAAGGTGCCTTGAGGGCTTCAGGGGGTCATTGCAGGACTATCAGAAGGGGAGATGTTTAGTAAATAGAAGTTTGCCCTGCCCTGTAAATAGGTCAAAAGAGGTTATCTCTGATGATTTCTTATTATGGGCAAGGCCTCCAATTCAAATACGTCTAGGTGGCCAGGAGAGGTGCGGAAGTTTCTCCAGTCGCCTTACCTCAAAACAATCTGCATACCACAGAGGCACATCTTGGGGTTCTGAACCCCCTAATTTTTTTTTAAGCTTGTTACTCCCTTTTTCACATTATTTTTGTGGCTTTCTCCCCCAGCAGAGCCCTGTAATTCCTGTAGGTTCTGAAGAAAGCCTTTGGCAGCACCAGCGAGATTACCCTCTCTTCATACTGTTATTGTGGGATCTACAATGTACATTGGTTGTTTCTAATTCTTTGTATAATTTTACATGTCCTTGCTGTCATAATTTTAAACCTGTAAAAATTGCTACTGGTTTAATTTAGTTGAAGCTATTTATTTAAAGTGATCGTTTCATCAGAAATAGGCTTTGGATTGATTAGTATTAAAAAAATGTTCCTAAAAATATGACTTTTTCTCTTTCCAGTGTTGAGAAATGGTGCTTGGGAAATTGTGCACTGGGAAAAGGTAGGCATTGATTTTTATTTTGTTCCAGGAGAGGAAATGCATAGAGGTGTACTGTAGTAGATGTAATTTTTATATATAATATAAACATGTCAAGGTTTCCACTGATATGAAAGCTATTTAATAATTAATGTTGAAAACATACGTGGAGTCTTCATTTATGCACTTCCACTTAATGTTTCTGCAATATGCTATAAAGACAATTATCTTGAAAAGTAATATTTAGAACTTTTTGTTTCTTTCATGGTATATTTTAAGTACTGTTTTCACAGATTTCATTTAACCATGAACTGTTTTGTGTTGTAATTTTTGCTTTAATCATATACTGTCCAAGTAAAAATAAAACTTAGAATTCTGATTTCACATTTGTATATTTTACTTCAAATTCATGTAATGTGACTAATCAAATTTACATACTGCTAATTCCTTAAGATAAAAAAAAAAATGTCTTACTAACTAAAATCATCTTCCAAAGAGATGGAAATCAGTTCCATAACATTAAGAGGTTAATTTGTTCACAAGACCTCTAACGTGGTAGTTAGCGAGTTGAGTCACAATTTAACAAGTGTTATCCAAGTGTTCATATGCTTTCCAGACTTCAGTTTCAAAAGGTAAGCAATTGTTATTCTCCCTTAGTTCTGGAAGAACATCTGACCTCTGGTCATCCGCAAGTAAATAACCTTTGTAACTTGGTGAAAGAACTTTTGGATGTGAGGCCACTCTCCCCAGGGGATACTGTTTCCTGAGATTGCCAGGGCAACAGAGATGTAACCGCATCAATTGATTGGCACTCCAGGGTTTCCCAGCAGGTTAAAGCCCACGCCCTGATTCTACTTTATGAAGTTCATTGTCACCTTGTATCCCTGTGGAGAATAGGATTCCCTGTGAATTAGTTGCATTTTTGTTATTTTAAATCAGTGACTAGACTAGAGATTGACATCTCCTCTTCTGGATATTTGAAAAATTCATCACTCTCTCTGGTCTTTGACATAAAAGTAACAATGAGGAAAATACCTTGATTGTGCTTTCCTTGTTTATGTTGTAGTCACCTCTTTTTCAGAAGACCAACTAAAAAGAAGCTCAAAATGTTTTAAAAGAAGTTTCTTTTATGCTTTTGGCTGGCATTTGTGGATATAAACATTTTAGAGAGAAGATAGATAAGATATAATCATGTATGATAAATTGAATTTTATTATAAATATATTTCCTTTACTAAAGTTTTCAGTGTAGTTAACATAAATGCATATCCTAACAAATTGGTAGAGCAATTTCTTATCTTCTCACCTAGAGTGCTTGCTTAAAAAATAAACAGTTGTAAAGTCAGGAGATAACCATCTACTACTTCACTCTTACCTTTAACCTGTTAAAATGTCTTCTTTTTCTCCTAGTCATTATTTCAAGATCTATCTGGATTAAAAAAAAAAAAAAAGATCTATCTGGATTACCTGGATTATTTTAACTCTTACTTTTTCAAATTTACAGACAAAAAAATTAAATTAGTAGCCCACAATCACCCATAATGATAGCATTTTCAGCCCTCTTGCAGATCTGCACCACCTTTGAGATACAGGCATCCTACTTTGAGATACAGAGGGATAGAATTTACAATGTTGCCAAAAGTCATCCGGCCAAAATGAGCTGATGTTACTTAATAATTAGAATTAGAACTAATTAGAGTTAATAAAAGTTGGTTCAGTAATGAACTCAAGATACATATTCAAAAAATAACAGCATTCTTTATGTGCACAATATCAATTTAGAAAAATATAGTGAAAAAATATCTCATTTGCAGTGGCATATGAGATGCTTACAGCTAAACTTAAAATATGTGTATGACCTTGGGAAAGAAAAGATCATAATTTTAGGTATTAAGGAGTCACATAAATGTACAAATATGTCATATTCATAGAAAAAACTAAAAATATCAGTTGTTCGAAAGTATTGATGTAACATAATCCCAGAGAAGTTATCATTTTTTTCCTTCAAGAGTTGAGTAAATTTTTCATCTTAATTTCAAAAAATAGTTGATAAAATAGAAAAATATTTTGGAAAAAAGGAAGAGCAGTGTAGAAGGATTAACTTTAAGTAAAATGGAAAGCAAAAGCTCTTAAAATAAAGTGTGTCTGTTGCAAAAAATAGGCATTGGTAAATGTCTTTTTATTCTTAAAATTGAGTGTAATAGAGTACAATAGAGTAGAATCAAAGAGAGTAGAATGCCCTGAAATAAAGCCCATTTTGATAAAGAAGGCAAAAATCATCTATAAATGGATTATTTAATAAATTATGTTGGGATCACAGATTAGCAATTTCAAGAAATAATGTAGTTTATATCTAAGTCACAGCCTATGCCAAAAAAATTCCAACTAGCTAAAAAAGTTAAATATTAAAATATTGTTTTTGAAAAACAGACAAGTGAATAAAGACTTTAATGAATACTTGGAGAACAGCAAGATCTCAAGATCTATGGGATATGATTATATAAAATTTAAAACTAATATACAACAAAAACTACCACAGATCAAGTGGAATATGGAAAATATTTGCACAAAATATAACAAATTTAAAATCATTATTATATAAACAGAAAATCAAAGTTGGCAATAAGCAGAAAGAACTATAATAAGAAACCAGACTCAGTATAATATCCAACCTAATAAAAGTTATGATTTTAAACAATATTGAAGTCTCATCTGCTATCCAATACATAAAAACAAACTCACTCGTACTTTAGAATTTTTAATTTCCTGAAGTATTTCCTATATTATTGTGGATTAGCCATTTGATCTTCATACTAAGAACCATAGAAAGGATTCTGGGAATTTACCCCAAGAAAATAATCAAAGTATGGGAAAACCTGTGTGTGTGTGTGTATGTGTATGTATATATGTATGTGTGTGTGTGTGTATGTATATATATATAAATGTTTATTGTAGCATTCTTTATAATAGTGAAAAATTAGAATATGTGGATACCCAACAATAGGGAGAGAGTTTTCTAAATAAATTACAACATTTTGCACTCTAGTGTATTTTGTGACAAGTAAATGCTATAATTTCAAATGCTGTGGAAACATAGAAAAATGTTACGCCATTTTTCATTCAACAAATATTTATTAAGTATATGTGCCAAGCAGTGAGCTCACAGCAGCAAGCAAGATGGTTCCTGTGTCAAAAAATATAACCGTAGATGAAAAGAACAGGATTGTGTACACTAAGGTGCTGGCTACGTAAAGATGGTTTACTGAATACTAAGTGAACTGGCATGGAAGCAGGCTTGTTGCATTAGCCAGATTCTGGGGCAAGTCTTTTCTTCAGCTTATGTAGTATTTTGTGCAATTAAAAATAAAATCAATAAACCGAAACCCAGAGTCAGAGCCACATGCCAAGGTAATATGATAAACCATAGTGCAAATGAGCTTCATTTCCGGGTTCTTTCTTTCTCTGCCTTTCTAAATGTGTGGTTACTGTGGTTGCTTTTGAATGGTTCTCAAAGGACCTACATATTTGCACAGCACATCAGTCACTCACAGATGGGCAGACTTCCGCTCTCAAATATTAACAGTCATCCCTCCAGTTATTGCCCTGAAGCCTTTTCTCTGTTCACACAATGTTAAGTTAACAGTATCTGGGGTTTTTAAAAAAGTATTGCAATTCCAAAGCCCTGTGCAAAAGCATTGCCCCTATACACTTGAAATGTAAACAGCTATCTGCGTTGCCCTTAGCACAAAACCAATTGTTCAAATTGAGATGCAGCTGAGACTGTTCACAGGTTTTTTAAAGATAGTTGCAGGGGAAAAATTTAGGTGAAGAATCTTAGAATCGATACATTCTTCTGGTTTCCTAGAGAAGCATGGGGAGATGGGTGGCTGTATGCATGTGGAAAAGTCACCCTATAGAACTGCTTTAATGTATGATATTACCACCATGAAATGTATTTATTTGGACTAAGAATTTATATCTCCAGAAATCCTCTAGTAAAACTATAAATATGCGGGAGCCTCCAATTGGACCAAGACAGGTTTTAAGTGAGTCTATTTTATTTTAATAAGCTTACCCTTTTACATAACCCTCAATTGTAGTGCTAATGTGAGTGACTTGAGAAGGCGCAAGGTAGTGGCCTGAAGCCCTAAATATTTCCTTCTCTTCAGCATTTTGGGGACTAAAACTCCTCTGTCACGATAGTTCTCTAATTAGAACACATGGTTAAAGAATTTTTGCCATCTTGGCTTTCTCTTCCATGTGTTCCTCTTATGTACACACCAGGCTGAAAGGGGCAGTGCCACACTAGGAGCTCAGAACCCTAAAAGAAAAAAAGATGCTTGGATGTGTTTGAGAAAGTGATCTAAAACATAAGCATCATAAAGAGGAAGTGAGTTCCCTGCTTTCCTCACAGTACCCTGAGGGTAACTTTAGCACTCAGAGAGCCTTGGGCGTTCCCAGGCCACTGTGGTCACTATATTGTACCATATAAGGTGCTGATATTTTGTTTAGTCTTCAGTTTAATAACCAGAAGCCGTGGTCTTACAATGAACAAAGATTTTGGAAAACAGTGTAATCAATTAGGGATTTTTATGAGTCTATTATAGACTCTAATACTGTAATGTAAACAAATATCCTGCTTTTATGAAGCATGTAGTCTAATTGAATAGTAAACATTGACACACAGCTAGTGATTCAAGAACAGTTGAATGGCAACCTGCGTAGCCTTCTCCCTAAGTGTCATGGCTGCAGAGAACTACATTTCTTTGTCTTGCTCTCAGTGGGTACTATCAGAATTCTGTCATCACACATGACCTTAAAGGTCAGTCTACACCTATACTTGCTGCTTTTCATTTTCCCAGTTTATTGTTGTTTTGATGGAACAGATATTTGATTCCACAGTGCCTGGTAATTTTTCAATTTTAGGTAACCCAGATTTCAGATGAAATGAACTTCTCTTGAATCAAGGCATCCAGAGCTTCCCTACATGGATAACCAGGATACATACCATAGATGAGAAGGCCCCCTCCAATGTTCCCTAAGCCATTCTGCCCCCAGTATATAAAGTAGACCATGGTGGGCTATCTATGCAGCAATTTCTTATAGGGATTCCCACTGCGGACACCATTCTCTCCTTCCCCTGAATAAAGTGTTGTTTTATGGTTCAAGGAAAAGAAAGGAGGGGAAAGAACAAAAAGGCATTAATGACAACAAAGAAAGGCTATAACAAAAAAGGCTTTTCTTGGGCCGGCTGAGTGGCACGTTGATTAAGAGCTGGCTTGGGACGCCAGAGGCCCCGGTTCGGATCCCACATATGAGGGCCAGTGACACTGCCCTCTACAGCTAAGATGCTGAACAACAGCTCAACCTGGAGCTGGGCTGCTGTGAGTCGGCAACAGCGTAGGCTGCAGCCCCTGCTGCAGTGGTTTGCCATGGGCTACCGTGTGTAGCCAGCAGCCAGCGTGAGCGGCCAGCAGCCGCAGTGAGTGTCCGTCCAGAAGCCGGCGACTGATCTGCCTCGCCCGAGAAGAGCGCAATGATGGTGCCAACTTGGGCCAGTGAAGCAATGTCCTCCACAACTAGACTGAAGAACAAAAGGACAGCAACTTGTCTGTTCCCCTTCCCCCCAACCCTTCCCCCAATTCCCCAGCACTGTTCCTATCCCCCAATTCCCCAATACAAATCTTCAAAAAAAAAAGGCTTTTCTTGATTAAGAATTGAAATTTATTTTAGGTTCATTTGACTACTAAGCGAGAGGAAAATTTTCATGATATAAGGGAGTGGCTATGGGTGTTGCATTGTCTGACAAAAACTCTATGACAAACCTATCACTGAAATTACTACTAACAATTTCTGGCCATAGCGTGTCTTTGTCTTCAGGCCATGTTCACAAAAGTGCTAACAGATATGAAAATGAGAAAGAGATTAAGCTGGCTGCTTTGTTGTTGTTTTTTAATTTAAAAAACAGTAATAGTTTCATGATATTTATTTATGCAAAATCAGGCTTTGCAGAAAGTCAGATGTGGGTTTGAATTAAGCTCTTCATCTCACTGAGAATTTGGACAAACTACTTAGAATCTAATACTCATTTCCTTTCTCTCTAAATTATGAATTATAACTAACACCTATTTCATAAGGTCATCATGAGGAGTAATTATTATATATCCAATAGTTTTTCTAGTTGTATTGAGATTTCCTTAAATAGGGTAAAATTTTCATTTGGTAAATTCCTCCTTTTTATTTTTATGTCAGAGGGAGAGACTATGAGAAGTTGAAATGTCAATTAAATGGATAAATTAAGATAAGTTATATAGCTGATAAAACAAAGACACAAGTTCAATTTTTAAAGCACTGCACCATCCTTGGCCTCATTCCTAGATCATTTTATGCTGTTTTGTGAAGATAAGTGGTTTCTTGTTTGCCAATAACCATTTTTACTGTATTCTATGTTTAAATACAATGGGTTGTATATTTGTAACTATCTTTCCATGCAGATAATTAACCAATTCCCAGTTTTCTTTCAGGTAAATGTTGGAGATATAGTTATAATAAAAGGCAAAGAGTATATACCTGCTGACACTGTACTTCTCTCATCAAGGTAGAGATACCTACTGATGCTCAAACAGTGTAGAGGACGGTTTCTCTACCCTGCATTGACCTTGTGATTTCTCCAAGGAAATAAGGAATAAACGAAGAATTTTAAACCTCTCTAATGATTATGAATTAAGCGTTAAAAAAATTGATTGGACTTGACTCTTTCATTTTTGTCATATAGAATAAGTGATAGGTACTATGCTTTATAATTCAAAAGCTATATTTGCAATTACGAGCCCACTCTCTCTCTCTGGATATGTCCAGATGCTTTTCTGTGGACCACTAACTTTTGTAAGATTTCCTGTCACTTATTTTATATAATACATGGATTGGGTTCTTTCCTGATTTTTATCTTGCAATATTTGTTCATGATAAATTCCTTTATGATGCATTCATATATCCCTCCAAAGTTTCTTGATCTTTATGGTGCATTGGTACAAGAAAATGGATTTATGATTTCATTTTTGGTCATCATATCTTTTGAAATGCCACACTTCCAACAAAAAATTAAAGTATTTTGCTCTTTCTGTAAAGTTCTTTCCATTACTGAATTTAGATAATTTTTGTTTTACTCATACTTAAGATAGTCATGAATTAGTATTCAGAACATATGGCACTGTTACCCTTTAAAGAATGTAACTTTCAAATATTCTTAGGTTTAAAAACTATAAAACCAGTCCTAATATAAATTAAGAAAAAAAATGTTTTAAATATTTTAGAGGTTGTTTATCATCATTTCCTTGGACAGTTTTATTTGTAAAATCCACATGTAAATATGGACAGTGTCCTTTTTTCAAAATCTATTTAATCAGGTCATTATTGAAAATGATTGGATTTATGACAAGTTAGTGAAATCTAATTGAGCAAGTAAGAGTTATACAGATATTTGTAGAAGTAAGTGTACAGGTAGTTGAAGTAACTATAGGTAGTTACGTTTCCGTATTTTATAGTTGGGAGCTCTTTGTGCCATTTACTTATAGGTTTTGTTTTCAGAAAAATTAATAGGTTTTTTAATTAACCTTTCTTTTTAGTTTCTTTTGCTTAACCTTCATCAGGGTAGGTTTCTAAAACTGAAGTAAACGTGCTGGTCTGTGCATGACAGTGTGAGAATGAGTTTATCAGTGAACTCGCTGCCTTTGCCTTTGTCTCAGGGACTACATAGCATCAGTATTAGAGAGCTCTGCTGAGGAGGCAGAAAACCAGGGTTCTTACCTTGACTGGGTGATTTTGAACCAAATACTTAGTCTCTCAGACCTTGATTTCATGTCTTTTAAAGTAAGGAAGATGGATTACTTGATCAAACGCTAATATCCCTCAATTCTCCTTTTTGTTTAAATTGATACTATTTCATTTAAGTTTTAAGCATGCCTACCTAACCAACAGAGCAGTTTGCATTTGGTGGTAATAAGTAAAAGTCTGAGAAATCTAATGGACATTTGACGATCTGAATGTCATATTTATATAACTAAGTTCAAAATGATAGAGAATTTCAGCAATTTAAGAAAGTATTAATGTTTTCCTGATTAAACTTAGCATGGAGAAATTATCATAGAACCATCTTCGCTGATTCATTAATTACAATATTTAAATTGTACTCAAAAATATGAAGATAAGTAATTGTATTGCCCTGACTTTATACTTAGTTCTAAGTTGAAAACCTTCAAAATATTTTTCATCTGTTTCTATCCAATGCCAGAAACTCCCAGAAATCTCTGCGCTTATATTTCTTAAACTTTAGAGCATTTTTACAGAACTTATCTTCTAAACATTAAAAAAATTCCCTGGTGGTTATCAGTATTGGTAGATCAAAATAGTGTCTAAACCTTAATATAGCATCCATAGTGATAAACTTCCTTTAAAGATTATTGTTTTTAAAAAGATTACCTGATTTGTAGCTTTTTGTTATTTAGCAGTATTCAAAGTAATGTATAAAAAGCTTGTGCTGTTAGATATTTCTGTCCAAGTGGCAAAGTACCACATTTCAGTATTTTCTTTTTGTTTTCAAAAGGGATTTTGCATTACTTGGCTCTTTTGAACCTACACTGGCCTTAAGAAGTAGGTAAAAGTTCTGTCATCATTTACAGAAAGAGGAATTTTGACTTTAAGTTTTCTTTTTAGCCACTTAACTTTAGCTAATGACTAGGTCAAGGTTGGAATACTTAACAACTCTTAATCTAATAATATCTTCATTATACCACATTGTCCACTATCAGAATAAGTACATGGTGATTTTCACCTACAGGTGAGCACCATTTAACAGTAGCAATAAGCAGCAGTTTATAATATTTTAATTTCCAAGTAATTTTCAATTATTAATTATTAATAGCACATCTTCTTTGAGGTAGCATGAAATTACAGTGTGAACATGGTTGAAAGTTACTGTTTTTCATTGATTTTCATTTTGAAATAAAGAAACTGAAATTTTAGCATATAATGAACACATAACATATATGAGTTTAAAAAGTATAAAATAGAGTAAAATAACTCAAGCTTTTAATTCAAGTCCAAATAGGTTTTTGCCATGTCTACTTTATATCTTTGAAAAATTTCTCCTAGATGCAAAAGATTTCTCTCCCCAATCAATGCATTACTTAGACTTTATTAATTATTAAATAACTCAAAAGGATGCAATTATGCCTTCTAACTTCCTGAGATCCATGTCTTTGCAGTTTCGCATTAAAGGTAATAAGATGGGAGCTCCAGTGGCGCAGTCGATTAGCACACGGTACTTATATAAAGTTAATAAGATGTTTATGTAGTTAACTTTGAAAGATTTTGGAATCAGAAAATTTTAAATAAAGAAATTTTTTTAGTGTATTGTAGAGTTTACTATAGTATAGTATAGTATAGTATAATTTGTTTTTCAAAAGCTTAGAAAGTAGTTTCCACAATTATTTCTTTTCTTCTTGGGTAAGAGTAGACATTAAATAGATGGCATGAGAGTGAGGAATTAGAGAAAGGAAAATTTTTAAGATAAAGTAGCTCTCTATAAAAATATCTTTTTATTTAATATAAGATATACCTGTGAGTAAACTTTTAAAAATCAAAAGTTTCTGCATGAAAAATTGAAAATTGGGCTTAAAAGCAAATGAATAATCCTTAAGCAGTCCATGTTTTCTTGTGCCTTTAGACCTGATCAAAATAAATTTTGAAAAAATTGGCATTAGACATTTTTATTAACATGTATTATTTTCTATAATAATTTCAAACTTTCTGTCTCCTTTGTCCATTTGTTTGTTTTTTTTCTCTGTCATTCATTTTTTTTTTCCATTTTAATGATTTTAAACTGGGACCTGTAGGTGGCAGTAGGGGAAATAGTGAAAGTGACCAATGGGGAACACCTCCCAGCAGATCTCATCAGCCTGTCCTCAAGGTTAGAACCGCTGAGTTGTACAGGATGTGTGTATGTGGGTCCTCACCCTACGCCAGAGAACAGTTAAACCCAAAGATGGTCGAGTTCTGTGTCTCCTTTAACAAACTTTTTTATACTCCTTGGTGATGGACATTTCACAGATGTCTTAAAGGCCTTTTATGAATATAATAATGTTCATCCCTCAACTGGGCAGATTCAGTTCCTATTGTTATCAGTAGGAACCCATGAAACATGCCCGGAAAGGTAGATTTTATTTCCTATGCATCATTAATATATATTCATATTTAACAACATGCCTAAATACTAAGGCTTGATGTAATACTTCTCCCAGATATTGTTTTGAACCATGTTAAGGTTTACATGAAACAAAGTTATTGAGAAATGTTTAAGATTTTAAACATTCGTCTTATTCTTATATTTGAAGTTGTTTATAAGTTCTGTAGAATCCCTTCAGCAATCATGACTGTAATTTGGGCTTGTATAGGGTTTACAGAGGACCCCCTGCACAGAGCTCGATGTTGTACATTTTGTACCGCATGCTTTGGGATCAGTTTTTATCCCACTTGTAACTAGTGACAAAGTGCACGTTACTGTGATAAATTTCAGCTGTCTACTAGTGTCTGTATTGTGATATGCATCTTGTTTCATTTCTCCACCTACTAATCAGAAAGCTTGCTCTGCCCCTTTGACTGTAGTTTGTGTTTTGGATGTCCTCCTAGTTTGCTGAAATATTTATTGTCTAGCATGACTCCTTATCTGAGACATCTCGCTGTCTTTTCATAGCCCTGTTAAGAGCTTCTTCAGTAACAGCTGTCTTAAGGGATTAAGTATGTTCTGAATTTGGATGCATATTTTATTTGCCCCAATTCAAATAGAAGTTTCTTTTATTAACTTTCTAAGTTCCTTGCCATTTAAAGTCCTAGAAAAGATGCTTTATGAAAAAAAGATAGAAATAGAATTAGAATGTGAATGTTATTCTCATTTAATATGAGAATGGCCTTGGATATGTAAAGTAAAACTTGGATGCGTGTTACTGCCAAAATATGGAATCAGCATCGTTCATTTAGTATTTGTTTGTCATCATGCTTGTATATTATCAGATGTGTTTTATAATTTTATAAACCATTTAAGTTTCAAATGTATCTATAAGTAAATTACAAATTGGGAGCAATTGCCAGAGCCAAATTACTATTGTGACAGTAATACAAAACAAAACTTTGAATTATTGATAGAGTGAAATATAAATATTGAAGAACTTCTCCAGTTGGGAAAAAGTATCAGCTTTTATGAGATTAAAAAAAAAAAAAGGCCATAGAGTAAATTGAAGAACTTGCAAAGTTACTTTAAAATGAATCTATAAAATATTTGATCAATGGCCATGTGTTTTAGTAATTTTCACAAATCTTCAGGCCACAAAACTAAGCTATATGCCCATTTCTGAAACTTGGATAGTCTGGTTTGCACATGTACAAATTGGAAGTTGATTAGAAAATTCCAAGTGTGTGTAACTTAACAAATTTCTTTCCAACTTTCAATACACATGCTTATCAGAGATTACACTCCTAGTTACTTATATGATATTAATGGGTTTATTATATAACTGAATGCTAATAAGATTGATTTAGCTCCAGAATGCTTTTCGTTATAGTTGAGGATAGGCTTGTACAGTTGGACTGCAAACTCACCTGCCTATAATGTCAAGTAAAGTTAGCATGTGAAGGGACAGGATATAGATGGTCCAGGAGTGGTACCTGTGAAAAAAACTGGAGAACACAGAAGCCTTATACCAGCTGCTGCACACCAAACTTTACTAAAACACTCTGGTGGGGACCCATAGAGTGAATATTCTAGGTTCAGGTCAAGGAACAGTATAGCCAAGTTGGCTGATTTTAGTTTTAACGTTTGCTGCTACAAGAATCTCTGAAGCAACTTGAAGAAATAGAATAGGAGCAGGAAAAATAGGGGGAGAAAAGTGTATATCTTAAATTTCATTGTAAAATTTGTTCATATGGTTTTTAAAAAGTAGCCTTAAAATTTAAATGTTATGGTTCATACGATCCTATTCATCTTTCCTAAAAGGGTAGTAAATGCAAATTTGTAGGAGCAGCAATCTGGAATTTTCTAATCAACCACTTTCCTTAACCAATTTACATGTGGGCTACGAGCATGAAATCTCACTTGATATTTTTGAGCTAAAGATAATTCTAGACACAAAAGTGTTTTACACTTCAGATTCAGTCTGTGTTGTGTCTATATGGATGAACAATGCAAGTGTAATGTGACAAATTTAATCATTTACAGTCTCTTGAAGATTTATACTGATTGTTGTCAGGAAATTGCTTTTGGGTCCTTCTGGCTGAAAAGCTGATCCATGAGTTGTCATGCATGGGTTCGCCTCATATAATTTGGAGTTAGAATGAAAATCATCAAAAAACTAGGCAATTAAAGCTTTATTTAGAACAAAAGGCTTGAGTGAGTCTGAGTATTTAAATAAGTTATTATTATGCTTTCCTCCCCCCACTAAATCTTTTTGCTTTTCAATTTCAAACAATAGTGAGCCCCAGGCCATGTGCTACATTGAAACATCCAACTTGGATGGTGAAACAAACTTGAAAATCAGACAGGTAAGATTTAATATAGGTTTATGTAATTGTTGCTGTTTTATTACATGGAATCAGGACCTTTATTTCTTACTGTCTTGACTTAAAATAATTCTGTCCTATTGCAAATATTTTCTCATTGAACCATATGAAGAGGTTTTATAAACTGGTATCATTAAGTAGTATGGAAGACTCAGATTTACCTGATTAAATATGATCCATCATATACATGCAATTAGTAATATTTTTAATATTTTATGTAATAGCCAACATTCTGATGATAATAATAGTAGTAATTTTAAGTGCTTTGATATGCGTTGGCTTATTCATTTTTACTATTCACCTTATTAGGCTTTACCATATTGAAAAGATGTAGTTTCCATTGCTAT